AACACTCTTGAGCTGCTGTGGGGGATTCTGTAGAGACGAGCTGAGCAACACTCCCCATTAAAGACCAGGGCATTTAAGGAGGTCGTCCTCCAGGAGTTAAACAGCACAGATGTGACTTTGTCATGATGTGTGAGATGTGTGAATTTGTCATGAACTTGTACACTCAGTGCCAAGAAGGGTCAGAGCAGTATACTTTAAGTTCTGGAGGACATACTAAGTACTAGAATATTATACAATTTCTGAATTAAATCTAGAGTGTACTCATATTTCTGCAATCCTTCATTTAAACAAAATTGGCTAATTTACTTATCTTACAGAAAATATTGGCATATATTTTGTTGTTTTTATTAAGTATATGTTTACTATGTTTCAATTTTGCCATCTTTCCATGAATTATATTAGTGATCATTAAGAAAATACATCTTTTATATTTATTCAGAGGGGGTGTACTCATTTATGCTGTGCACTGTAATAGCCTGTAAGTGTTAACTAGCATTATAGAATCACTTTCTGAAAAGCCTCTGCTAAGTTAAATGTCCTTAATCTCATAGGTCATATAAACCATACGTGGAAACTCCCACAACATTTCTATAACCAAAAGTTCATCCACCTTGAAAAGTAGTACCGACTCATAAGGATAATATAAACTTTACAGTTAACATACTATTATTATTTTTTTTTACTAAATAATTCTACCTTTAACAAAAATATGAGCTTGAAGATGTTTTAAACTGCCTGAGTTTACTTCATGGCGTGTAATATTTTAACTGACATTTAACTGATGAATAAAGTAAATATTAGCTCACATTAAAGGGTTAGTTCACCCAAAAATGAAAATTTGTCCATAAATTACTCACCCTCAAGTCGTCCTAGTATATGACTTTCTTCTTTCAGACAAATCCAGTCGGAGTTATATTAAAAATTGTCTTTGATCTTTCAAGCTGTTTAATGCCACTCAGTGGGTGTTGCATGCATCAGTCCAAAAGAAGTGAAATAAAAAGCGCCCATCCATTAAAAAAAGTGTCTCCGGGGGGTGAACAAAGGCCTTCTGTAGCAAATCGATGCGTTTTGTAAGAAAAATATCCATATTCAAAACGTAATAATCACTTTAATGTAGCTTGCGCCAACAGTTGTACACGAAAGCAGCTCCGGGCTGATGAGGTATGAGGTCAAGCTTGAAAGATCAAAGACCATTTTTAATATAACTCCGACTGGATTCGTCTGAAAGAAGGCATATACACCTAGGATGACTTTAGGGTGAGTAATTTATGGGCTAATTTTCATTTTTGGGTGAACTAACCCTTTAAGCTAACCGTACTATTTGATTCCGAGTTAACTCCGCCTCAGCCCTGTTTCAGGTACTCAAAGTTATGTCGTCTGTTCTTTTCTCCCAACAGTAACTTACAAAAAAAAAAAATTAAAGGTCAAGGTATCTAATGTGTGTTTTCACTGTCAGCAGTAAAGATGAGGATTACCTCATTGTGAGAGCAGCTTGTAAATCTTGTAAGAAAGACCTGTCACCTCTAAAAATATTACAATACATGACCAATGTAAGCCAGTATGTTGACAGCCGAACACCACACCCATGTGGTTGAGGATTATATTTCAAACCCAGAGGTAATAGGTATTTAGTCTTGTAAGTTACTGTTGGGAGAAAAGAAGAGACGACATAACTTTGAGTACCTGAAACAGGGCTGACGTAGATCTACTACATACAAGCAGAAATGTATGTATGTGTAAGGAGAATGTAAGTGTGTGAAAGTGCCAAAATGAATTATGGCTTGTATGGCCCCTCATACTAGATCCTCTAATATTCAGTATAAGAGCTGCTCTTGCTCGTGTAATATTACTGAATTAAACTCTGCATATGCGCGCCGCGCTGCTCATGTTTATTCGACTTACAGATCGTTGGGCTTTTTCTGCAAAGTCGTAATAAGTCTGGCGAAGTCAATTGTTTGTATCAGAGCTCCTCTGCTTCATGATAGTTCAGAATGGCGTGTTATACAATATGAAAAAAAAAATGACCCCGTTCAAAAGTTTGCATACACTTGATTCTTAATACTGTTGTCACGAATTCGGTCCATGGACTTCCATTTATTCACCACCAGAGGTCACCCTTTCCATTGATAGTTGTTCATGAGTGCCTTGTTCATCCTGAACAGTTAAACTGCCTGCTGTTCTTCAGAAAAATTCTTCAGGTCCCAGAAATTCTTTGGTTTTCCAGCATCTTTTGCGTATTTGAACCCTTTCCAACAATGACTGCATGATTTTGAGATCCATCTTTTCACATTGAGGACAACCGATGGACTCATACACAACTATTACAGAAGGTTCAAGCGATCACTGATGCTCCAGAAGGAAAAAACGATGCATTGTCTTCTGGGAAACATGCAAGTATCTTCTGTAGCTTCTGAAGGGCAGCACTAAATGAAAGAAGAAGAAAAAAAGATATTTAGGCAAAATAAGAAAAATGTACACATCTTCATTCTTTTCAAAAGTTTTCACCTCCAGGCTCTTAATGCATCGTGTTTCCTTCTGGAGCATCAGTGAGCGTTTGAACTTTTTGTAATAGTCGCTTATGAGTCCCTCAGTTGTCGAAAAGATGGATCTCAAAATCATACAATCATTGTTGGAAAGGGTACAGATATGCAGAAGATGCTGGATATTTAGTATACTAAAATATATTTAATACAGTTAATAATCATTATTGAGATAAAAGTACATATATTTGAAAAAAACTGAAATGGTTATGAAATCAAATGTTTTAATTGCTCCAATCCAAAGTCAATCAGTTTTCCTGTAGATGTGTCTGGCCTGTAGAGGGAAGAATTGACACAAAACACAACTATTTACCCTGTATTACAGATCAAATAGCATTTTTAAATTAAATAATTCATATAAGCACTTCAGTTTTCACATTTCTGCTTTTAACCCCCCTGTAAGAACTGCCACTGTTGTAAGTACATGCATTACTGTAAGCACACATTTGTTTACCTGGTTGCGATGGCATGCAATTGCCTTTGCTTATGAAAGATTCAAATAAAATTTTGGTCGTTTTGCTAAGTTTTTGCTTAAATAGTGTTTTTTTCCCACAAAATATTTGTCATGATAAGCATGATAAGTTGTATTTAGTGTATAAAACTATGCGATAAAAGTCACAGTCATTGAGACCAAGAGCACGTTTTATAGGCCTACACACACAACACAATATATAGAGCTACTTTTGTTCTAGACAGAAATAAAAATCATACGCTAAGGACATGTCACAGGATTTATTTACTTTTGCTTATGATTACATTTATTTTAAAAATAGAAAGACATAAAACAGTTATGTTTACACCCAACATATTTTTGTCATCTCTCATAGTAGTGATTCATTAGCCCTTCTATGAGCTGTACAACAAAATAAGCCAACTAGCTAAACCACCATAACATGATTTCTATTACACTGCACAGGAACCTGGTTCTTTTTAACATATGAAGATGGTGATCAGTTTGATGGAGGTCTGAGTCTCTGGTAATTCCAGGGATGTCAATGTCTGTGCAGTGTATAAGAAACTATTCAGATCTCCACCCAGCTGTCCAAAATCCGCTGCTCCTTTTCCTCAAAGCATGGAGAAATTTAGCCACTAGAGGGAGACAAAATACAGTTGTAGTGTCAATGGCCTGGGAAGCAGACTGTTGCATCCTACCATACCTTTCTGATTTTTAACTTACAAACCTTTAGAGACAGACCTGTTGTGAGCTCGGAGGTTGTTAATCGATGGCATATGCCACCTGTTTGCATCATTTCAAACTAGTTGTTAAATGATCATGTTTAACAGTATAATTTGTGGTGAAAAAACTACATTACCCATGATGCTGTTCAAAAATTCCACCAATCAGAGTCACAATCAGCAAATCGCGCCAAATTAGTTTGCAAGAAAATGCCCTCTTACATGAAGCACCACAAATGACAACATTAAATACATAGTTTTCGATTTCACCATCGTCATTTGCAATGCTTCATGGGACTGTAGCTCGTTCCCTCATTAAAGCTGTTAAGTACACAGTCTTGGACCTTTGTCTTTTTGTCCAGTTTTTAAATACTTTTTTGCTTCAAATCAAAGTTGGTAATGCTGTGATTCACCTCGTAGCTGGTTGGCTTGGTTCATGGCTTATAACGCTTTAGTGTGGGAAAAATGAATGGAAAAAATACTTCCAGAACTAGTGCGGCTGAAAAAGTGGACAGGCACTAATGCACTCTATATAATATGTATACTGTCCTCAGTATGCACATTATCTGTATTGTACGGAAGCCCGTTTCCTCCATGGATTTACAGAAATAAAGGTAATTGGGACCCTTTACCTCACAATTCTGACTTTTTTTCTAAGAATTGAGAAATTCTCAGAAAAACCCCCCCCTGAGAATTCCAAGATATAAACAAAAAACTGCAAGCTATAAAATGAGAATTGCAAGATTTCAACTCTCGATAACAAAATTGTGAGATGTAAACTCAGAATTCAGAGGGAACAAAATCAGAAGTGCAAAAAGTAAATTTGGAATTGTGAGGAAAAAAGTCAGAATTGTGAGATAAAAAGTCACAATGATCTTTTTACATAAAGGTTTTTATTTTTATTTTTTAATGCAAATAGCACACCTTGTTGGCAGAGGCGATTTACACTAAACCTGCCCATCCATGTCTGGTGGGGAGAGACAACACTACAAAAGACGCCAGTCAATAGCAACAGTGGTGTAGGGTGTATGGTGGTAACTTTTGGCGCGACCGAACCAAGTTCAAATCCGCCTTTTCCTGAACTCGTTCTTCTCCATTTTCCCATCACGTGTAAGAACAGAGAGGCGTTTATTCTCAATAAAAATGAAGGAAATATTCGAAAAGTGGAAACAAAGTGCCTCACAGGTATTTAATAACAAAGTGTTTATTGGGTATGTTTAGGGGTAGGTGTAGGGAGGCATATTTTAATAAATATGATCATTTGCACTCAATATGCTATTATTGCATACTGTTTTTTAACGTACTACAATACTGAGGTGCAAATATCTGCCATTTTTTGCACTAAGTAGCATCTAACTACAATTTACACTTATTGCAAAGAAAATACTGCTATTTTTACATAGTGTAAATAGAATCTATCATTATTTGCCATTAGTGTAAATAGCATCTATCGTAAAGAAAATATGCTATTTGCACCTTGTGTAAAATAGCATCTATTTGCCTATTTTTATAGGCAGAGGCTATTTACACTAACTCCGCCCACCAATGTGTGGTAGGACAACATTGCAAAAGACACTCATAAAATAACAGCTCCACTAGCGTAGGTAAATCGCGTAACAACTGCCTTTTGACGCAATCGACCCGAGTTCAAATCCGCCTTTTGCCGAACTCGTTCTTCTCCCTTTTCACATCACACTTCACATCGGAAAGGCATTTATTTTCAATAAAAATGAAGGAAATAATCGAACCGTTTAAAATAACACACCCTCACGGGTGTTTATCGTTTAAGATTAGGGTTAGGCGTAGGGAGGCCTTTATTGTCCCAAATCGGCATCCATTTAATAATTGAAATAAAAATTATAATTTACACTCATTACGTTATTATTACATATTGTTTTATAATGTACTACAATAGCGAGGTGCAGATATCTGGCACTATTTGCACTAAGTAGAATAAATAGCATCTAATTACTAGTATTGCAAAGAAAATACTCCAGTTTTTACATAGTATAAATAGCATATCGCTAAAAATACTGATATTTTCACTTAGTGTTAATAGAATCCATTGCTATTTGCACTTAGTGTAAATAGCATTTAATTGCTATCTAAATAGCATCTATTGCTATCCGCTGCCCTTTTTTTAGTGGTGGAAATGTGCTTTCATAGTATTGTGCACTGAGCAGCCGTATGAAATACTGTATCCCACAATGCAATCCACTCAACTTGACCTTTCATTTCTAGTATGGTGAACCACATTTAAGTACAATCATGAAATAATTATTTTTTTACTTACAATTTGGTGAAAGATTTTTTTTTTTTTTACCCAAAATAGGATTTAAAAAAATGGAAATTCGCCAAGATGTTAACTGAATGGAAAAAAACCCCCCGTCATAAACATGCCATTACTAGACTCTAGATTGTTCTAGAACCCTCAGTGCATGACGAACAGTGACACAAACCTCAAAAAAATTCAGCTCTATTGTGCCAGTCTTGTCCTTGTCCAGCATTTTAAATGTTTCTGCAAATGAGAAATGTGGGTATGTAAATGCAGAATATCACATATCAGTCTTTATTCAAATGCGGTTGTTTATCGGACACTCACTGAACATGCTTTCAAGGCGCACAATACAGCCCACAAAGTTGTCAAAGTCGATGGTGAGATTGGTGTCGCTGTAGCGCGCGACCATGATCTGGTGTAGAGTGTTGTTCAGAGAAAAGCCTGTACAAACAACATGAGGGTGATTAAATGATAACAGATTTGTGATTTTTGTGTGAACTGTTCCTTTAAGACACAAGATCTGACCTGCTTTCACTATGGCTTCTCTCATCTCCATAGAGCTCATTGTGCCAGACTTGTCCTTGTCATTTTTACAGAAGACGTCCTGACAAAACACAAACACAGGCGGACTGCAATGTTACAACATTTTTTAACAATCTGCCGCCTTCGAAGATGGACGGTACAAATAATGAAAATGACACCAGGATGAAAAAAAAGCATGAAAACATACCAGGTACACCTCAATTTTAGTCCAGAGAATCTTAAATTCAACCATGCCCAGCTTTCCACTGCCATCTTTCTGAGACACCAATAAAGGAAAGAATAGACTAGAATAGTGCCGAAATCAATCATCTAAACCAGTGGTTCCCAATCCTGGTCCTGGAGAACCCCCAACACTGCACATTTTAAATGTCTCCCTGTTCAAACACACCTGATTTAACTCATCAGCTCATTAGTGAAGACTCCAAGACCTCAAATGTGAGTGTCAGATAAGAGAGACACCAAAAACATGCAGTGTTGGGGGTTCTCCAGGACCAGGATTGGGAACCACTGATCTAAACTAATTATTTTTATAAAACTGATGCATTTTAAAAACACCTTGTGCAGTTATTCAAAAGGATACATCCAGTAAGTTCACCATGTTGCGGCAAGTGTCCAAACTAAATCCGTCAGTTTGAATGTCTTTGCCTTAAAAATAAAAATAAATGGTAAATAATTAAAATATTAAATTAATAAGAAACATGTAATCTACATGTAAATAAAACTTTTTATTTATTTTTATTGTTATATATATATTTTATTGATTAATTGATATTTATAAAACATTAAATTATTTACTATGTATTTTACATATTCAAGCAAAAATATGTTTATTTATAATTGTTGTTAAATATTGTTTTATTTGTTGATTTATTTATTAATATTATTTAATGATTTACTTTATATTTAACAGCGCTAAAATGTTTTTATTTATTATTAATATTGTTATGTTTTGTTTTATTGATTGATAATCAATCATATTTTACAAATATATAATATAATATAAAAAGAAATGAAAAAATGTATCAAAGAGCTTACGTTTAGTTATCACTTTGTTCAGGATATTTAGCAGCTCAAATGCTGAGATTTCAGCATCCTTGTGGAGAGAAAAAAAGATTGGATATGGTTTATAAATATTAAAATGAACAAAAATAGTATACTTGAATAATTATCCTGTAATACTCACTGCCCCAGCAAGCTGTCCAAACAGAGTCTTGAACCGGCTATCAATATCACCCTCATTCACATTAATCTATGAAATAATAAAATTGAAATAATGCATGTTTATGTCATAATACAGCATTATATTCATATTGGACACATGGAGAAATTTACCTCAGGAACGTTGCACTCAACAGGGTCATCAAGCTCTCTAAAAACCAGACATATTTTTAATCAGAAAAAATAAACTTTCATTAGAACTGATCTAATTATTGTGGGCCAGTATTTATCCAGGAACTCACTGGAACTCTGCCTGTTTCTCAGAGAAGACGCGAACACAAAAGTCACCATCCTTGTTGGGCTCGAAGGTGGACGGTACGATGAGATACTCGCCAGGGGGCAGACAGAAATGAGAGCAAACCTCGCGCAGGTTGATGAAGGTCTCGGAACGGGCCGCTGAAGCATGCCGCTGGAAGAAGTTACAGTCCAGGTGGACGTTCCTCTGCCCGGCAAACTACAACAGAATATTTCAACAAGAAATTAGATTAATAATGTTCATTTCTGAGTAAATTATCCCTTTAAGAGCTGTGATGAACTGATGAAAACATTAGAGGATTTTGAGGTTGCGTAGCAAAAAACAGGTGATTGTGTGCTTCAGTATCTGCAGTCCATACCTCGTCAGGAACCTGTGGACGATAATAAGAGAGTTATATTGATTTAATTGATTTACGTTTGTGAAATAATCAATTCTTATCACTTCTGATAGCTCTTGGCCAGAACAAGCAGGAAAGTGGATCAGATTTTCTGGCGATAGTCTAGTCTACTTCCAGACATGGTGTTAGGCTGCTCACCTCGTAGATGGCGAAGCCAATGGTGTGCATGTCCTCTCCGACTTTTCTCATTTTGCGGCGGTTCTTCTGGATCAGACCCACAACGAAGCTGCATCCCACTTCATTATCTGTCGGGTCGTCGTCCTGCTCCTCCAGCTTGATCAGAAACTGAGGGTTCATCCAGAACGAGTCTGCCAGGAACATAACAAAGGTCAAACACTTATGTTTTGCTGTAATAAATAGTACTTTAACATATTAAACAAAGTTTGTTTTGTTTAGTATTTTGTTTGTTGTTGTTTTTTGCAGTTTTTGTGCAGTATTCTTTTGTCTTTTTTGTATTATTTTTCTTTGCTTTTTGTTGTTTTTGTTTAGCATTCTTTTTTGTTTTTTGTTGTTGTTTGTATAGTATTGTTTTGTTTTTTGCTGTTTGTTTTGCTTTTTATTGTTTTTAGTAGTCTTTTGTTGCTGTTGCTTTTTAGTCTTTTTTTGAAGTTGTTTTTAGTGTACTTTTGTTTTTGCTGTTGTTTTTGTTCAATATTATTTTATTTTGTTTTTTGCAGTTGTTTTTGTGCAGTATTTTTGTTTTGTTTTGCTTTTTATTGTTTTTTGGTATTCTTTTTTTGATGTTGCTTTTGTTTAGTATTTTTTTGCAGTTGTTTTTTAGTGTACTTTTGTTTTTGTTAAGTATTATTTTGTTTTGTTTTTTTGCTGTTTTTGTTTAGTATTATTTTGTTTAGTTTTTTGCTGTTGTTTTTGTTTAGTATTGTCATGTTCAGTTTAAGTTTTGTTTCCTTGGACTCTTACTTTGTATGTTTTTGTTTCGTTTGTCCCTTTGGATTTCATGCACTGGTTTATTTACATGTTTGCAGATTACTTTCACCTATTTCTAGTTCAATTCATTGTTATTGTCTGTGTACTTAATCTAAACAATTTCCTCAGTTCATTGTCTAGTACTGTCTTTGTCATTTTTATTTTCTCTCTGTGTGTTTTTGTATTAGAGCATTATTGTTAATTTTCTAAACAAAGTTAAAGCTGCATTTGGATCTGCATCTCCTCTTCCTTGCCTTGCCTGCACTGTGACAAGTATTCTTTGTTTTGTTCTGTACTCTTGCTCAAATATTTAATAAAATATAATATAATGTAATATAATAAAGTATAATGTAATTATCAGGTAGTTGATTCAGTTCATTACTTGGGTAATTCCTGCAGCCTCCAGCAGTTGATCCTTTCCTCCAGTTGGCATCAAACTTGGACAGCGCCCACTTATTAATGCTGTCGTCTGACAGAGCATCAGGGGTCAGATTACAGATCTCCACCCGCGAGTAATGATGCAGGAAATCAGAGAACGACATCCTGGGATGCAGAGAAACATCTTGTCAATGATCTTAAGAACACCTTAACTAAATTGTCAAAAAAAAAAAAGCAAATAAAACATTTGCAGATTACCAGAACTCTCCATCTTCTGCTTTGCAGCTCAGTTTCTCACGGTCGTTGTCACTGATCTGGCGCCATTCTGATGATCTATAGACCAATCACATGACATTCAGTGAATTTCCTGGTCATTATTTAGCTGACCTGTTATTTTTGGCATGAGTAAAAAGCTTCTTTTGCATATATACACTACATCTCAAAAGTTTGTGGTTGGTAAGATTTTTAATGCTTTTGAAAGAAGACTCACCAAGGCTGCATTTTTTAAACAAAATATAGTAAAAACAGTTATATTGTGAAATATTGTTAGAATTGTTTTTATTTTACTAAAAGAGCTAAAAGATTTATTTGACTATCATTACTTAAGCCTTCAGTGTCACATGATCCTTCAGGAATCATTCTAATATGCTGATCTGCTGCTCAAGAAACATTTCTTATTTTTAACAATATCGAAACTATGATACACTGTTTTTTTTTTT